GGGGACTATGCAGACCTGGTGTTAGGTGTAGTTCAGTGTAGAGTGAGGACCTTTAACTCTTAAAGTGCTTGTAAACCCTTCCATATACCCAGTGAAGTGACTGGCCTAAGGTGATAGATGAAACAAATCCTCCTACACATGTAGCTGTTTATCTACAGTCTTCTCTTCTCTACATCCGTTCAAAGTGCTGAATTTATAAAGCTTGTCTGAGCTGTCAGAAAAAAAAGGGGGCAGAGAGCTGTCTCCATGAGCAGAGCTCTGAGGGATGTCTCGGTGAGCAGAGTTCTGAGAGCTGATTGGATGGAAGAGACACACCCCCTTTCACAGAGCACACAGGAACAGAGCTGAGGCTGTCAATCTGTTGGAGGTTCCCTCCCCCGTCACCATTCTTCTCTTGGTGTCAGGAAAACCGGCTCATGCAGCTAGCAGAGGAACGAGGTAGCAGACAGAAATGACACATAGTACTCTGGACTGAGACAAGTACACACTATAGAGGGATATGCTTTGTTCACATTTCACGTCTGAGGTTTACAACCACTTTTAAGCATTCGGTTTCGGCGTGTTAATGCACATGCGTTATGGCGAGAATTACCAAAAGCATGAAGACACCTCAATCATCATGAATGGGCCATCAATGTACCAATCAGGATGTATAAATGTACATGACGAGCAGCACAGTGGCTAAATGGTTAGCACTTCCAACTGGCAGTACTCGGGTTGTTGGTTCGAATCCAAATCACAGCACCACCTGCCTGGAGTTTGCATGTTCTCCCTGTGCCTGCATGGGTTTCCTCCAGCTACTCTGGTTTCCTCCAAAACTCCAAAGACATGCTGATAGGTGAATTGGCTCCTGTCTAAATTGTCCCTAGTATGTGTATGTATGAATGTGAGTTAGGGACCTTAGATTGTATATCCCTTGAGGGTTAGGGACTGATGTGAATGTACAATATATATGTAAAGTGCTGCGAAATTGATGGCGCTATATAAGTACCTGAAATAAATAAATAATGACCGCTTCATGATCAATGACGTGTGCCACAGCACACGGTATACGTGATATGGTGCGTTGGGCTCTATTGTATAATGTGATGGGTGCCATTGATAATGAGTGACAACACAACGCAGTGCGCAGAGCGCGCACTTTGCCATGCATCGTGGTAGCGCACATGAACATTTTAGCGCACATTGCCACATGTGAACGGTCCTTACAGTTAGTGTGAGGCAATCTAAAGGGCTGGCATCATGCTCAGCGCAGGAAGACTTTGCCAAAATCAACCGCCGACAATTATCCAGCAACAAAATCTCATTTTTTGTGATGGTTACCCTATTCAGGGTCAGAAACGCACGTCATAAACGTAATATACGGTTGCCCTGGGTTACGGCACTTTGCGCTCCCCGATTACACAGATCTGCAGCTCCGACAACCAACGAAGGTACACCCTGAGCATTGCCCAGCCAGGACTAAATCCACCTGCAGCTTCCCCCAGAATGACCTAGAAAGGCCGAGTTCCGTCATACAGTGACACGCGGCGGCGTGCGTCTCCGTCATGGATAAACCTCACTTACATCAGATCTCTGCTGCAACTCTGCACTGAAAATCACAGATCAGTTCCCAGCAACTGGAAAAGGTTTCCGCCTGCAGCAGAGTGGGCGGGCACAGACACCTGACGACGGCTCGTCTTTACGGGTGTCACTTTTCTGCGTTTGCAGTGCCCGTCAATCGCAGGACGACAAAATCTCATTGACTTGAACTGAATCGCACACATAGCAGGTCAGGGGCCGCGTTGCGTTCCTTTGGACGCCGCAGGTCCTATTGAGGCGTATTTGCGTATAGATGGCAGACGCAACGTTTGACAGGAACCCCCCGAGGGCGCGCGGCCCACACAGACAATTGTACTGATTTGTCTAGGAATTGCTCTTCTATGGCATGGACAGGAAGCAAATCTGTTACATTTGGGGATATCCAGAACCCCCTGAAGACTACAGCGCTCTACGTTCAAAATAAACGACGCAAAGAGGCGCCATTACGACGCAAACCAGGAATTAACCTGAATAATGTCTGTTACTTTGCGTTAGGCCTGGCGCATTGTGTGCGGAGCACAGGACCCCTCCCGCCCCACTAGCAGCAATCCGCAGTGCCTGCGAAAAGATGATTTCATCCGCTCTCTGCCAGGATATCCAGCGGGGTCATCGTCACCCCAGACCGGAAGAATGCTGCAATATTCCGCCACCGCCAGATGTCCTCACCCGGTCACCGGGACATTTCCCCGCTGTCACCCTATGGCTGCCATCATGTGCCCCTAGAGGAGGCATTAACCCTGAGAGCCCCGGGCTGGGGAGAGAAGGGATGCAGTGACATTAAATGGTTACAATGTATCACATGGAGAACCTCCAGCCTGGTATTTCCATATCTACAGTGTGTTACATTGTATCAGCCGGACATTAACCCTTTCAGGAGCCCCTCTTACAATCCCTTTTCTGCTGGAGAGATACAAACGTGACAAATTAATATTCCTCGGCTACAAGATGTCACCTTCACAGGAAGGACTCCAGAGTCTCAACTTCATGCTGAAGAAAGAAAAAAACATGGGGGGGCATTAATCCTCCATTGTCCCCATGTACCCCTGAACTTACACCTCTCCTGTATAGGGGGGCATTAACCCTTCCTCCTCCTGTACGGGGGGACATTAACCATTATCTTCCCCCTCTCTTGTATAGGGGGACATTAACCCTTCCCCCTCTCCTGTATGGGGGGGGGGGGTATATGACCCTTCCTTCTCCTTTTTAGGGGGATCATTAACCTTTACCCTCCCCCCTCTCATGTATAAAAGGACCATTAACCCTTTCCTCCCCTCTCTCTTGGATAAGGGGACATTAACCCCCACCCCTCCTGTATAAGGCAGCATTAACCCTCCCCTGTACAAGGGGACATTAACCCTTCCATCCCCCCTCTCCTGTACAAATAAAGAGCCATCAACCCTTCCCTCACTCTTCTCCTGGATAAGGGTGGCATTAACCCTTTCCTTCCCCTGTGCTGAATAGGTGGGCAGTACCCTTCCCTCCCCCTCTCCTGTATAGGGGGAAGTTAACCCTTACTCTCTCCCCCCTCTCTGTACAGGGGGGCAGTACCCAACCCCCTTTACTGTATAGGGGAGCATTAACAGTTACCCCCCCCTCCTGTATAGGGGGACATTGACCATTATCCTCCCCCCTCTCCTGTATAGGGAGGGGGACATTACCCTTACCACCACCCCCCTCTACTGTATAGGATAGGATAGGGGAGCATTGACCCTTCCCCCATATAGGGGGACATTAGCACTTACATCGCCTTCATGTATGGGGGGGGGGGGGGTTAACCCTTCCCTTTTTAGGGGGATATTAACCTTTACCCTCTCCTGTATAAGAAGGCCATTAACCCTTTCCTCTCCCTTGGATAAGGGGCCATGAACCCCCCTCCTGTATAAGAGAGCATTAACCCTCCCCCTCCCCTGTACAGGGGGACATTAACCCTTCCATTCCCCCCTCTCCTGTATAAATAAGGGGACATTGACTCTTTCCTTCACTCATCTCTTGGATAAGGGTGGTATTAACCCTTTCCAGATCCTGCTGATTCCAGCTCCCCCCCCCCCCCCCCCCCCCCATGATCAGAGGGGTCAAGATAAAGTATAATTCCAATTTGGATTTAACCCTTGCAAAGCTCTACCTGTTGTCTACACGTTTCACCAGGTGGGTGATCAAAAGTGATTGAGAGAAAGAGAGTGAAATTAAACATTCTGCTGTCAATTCCGAGGCTGGGCGCGTGTTTAACCCTTGCAGATACCCCCTCCCCCCACTTTGCTCTACATCTTGGATCTGCAGCTCTCAGAGAAAACATATAAAGTACAATGCAGCTGGCGGGGGGGGGGGGGGGGGGGGGGGGGCAGATACCCTCTATCCTTATCCCCCCCCCCTCCACCTCTACAGCCACACCTGACCTTCTCAGGGCTCCTAAAGGGTTAAAGATAAGATACAAAGTAGCAGTAAATTAATCAGCAATGATGACCCAGCATAGTCCTATGTGGGGGGGGGGGGGGTCAGATACCCTCTATCCTTATCCCCCTCTACAACCACACCTGACCTTCTCTGGGCTTACAAAGGGTTACAGATAAGATACAAAGTAGCAATAAGTTAATCAGCAATGGTGACCCTGCATAGTCCTATGGGGGGGGGGGGGGAAGGGGGGTGGTAATACAGAAAACAACCTCAACAACAGTCAGGGGCTCCATAGACAAAGAAACAACCAAGGGCATTAACTCTTCACCATCCTGCCCACCAAAAGAGGAATCCCACTGTTTTCTATGGTGGGGGGGGGGATTAACCCTTCCAGCTGGCAGGTGATCAGGAGATACAAAGTAACAATAAATCCTCCCATGTGTCCCCTAAAAAAGGGCATTAACCCCTACCCCCCCCCCCCCCTCTCCAGAGGATGGATACATTGTATTCTCCATACAGGGGTGACATCTACCTTCCATCAGAGGCAGGTCGGGGATCGGATGATACAAAGTAACAGGTTACACCCCCCCCCCCCCCCCCAGAGACTTCCTGCACTGTGACCCCTTCATCCCCAGTGTCTGCCGAGCACTCCGGGGGGGAGGGGCATGTATTCTGTAAACAGAGGATTAACCCTTTCAGGGAGATATAGAGAACCAGAAGACACCCGGCACATTGCCTGCCCCCCCCCCCCCCCCCCCCCCCCCCCATGTACATTAACCCTGTCCTCCTCTGCCAGGTCTGGGGACAGCAGGGTACAAAGGGGGGACGGCGGGGGTACACAGGGGGGACGGCGGGGTACACAGGGAGCCCTGAACTTGAACCCTGTAATTCCCCGTGTCTGCACTTAGGGGGTCCACAGAGACAGCACCCCCCCCCCCCCCCTCTACAGGGAGCATTAACCCTTCCCTCCCCTCTCCCGTACAGGGGACATTAACCCTTTCCCCGGAGGAGGGGGCTCTCACACTCACCCAGGGTCCGCCTCTGTTTGAAGCTCTTCTCGGACGGCATCCTTCCTCCGCTCTGCTCTCCGGTCTGTATGTGCGGCGCCCGCCCCAGCCAGGCAAAACAAAACACGGGCCCGTGACGTCAAAGTTACGTCACCCGGAGCCTCCCCGCCGCCATATTACGTGTGGCAGGGGGCGGGTAGACACGTGACTCTCCCCGCAGAGCTGCCTGAGCCAGACAGATAGTGGGGGTGGAAAGGAGAACTACAACTCCCCAACAGGGGCAGGACAGAGCCTGGGGTCATACCAGGGACAGATTTATGATAGTTTTTCTTATACTGTACTATATTAGATTACAGTTTTTTTGATACTATATTATACCAGTATTATATTATATTGTACTATCTTATACTAATATTATGTTACATTGTATTATATTATAGGAATGTTGTAGTGTACTATATCACACTAATATGTTGTACAGGCGTACCTCAGTTTACGAATTTAATGCGTTCTCTCGGAACGTTTCGTATTGCGGAAAATTTGTAAACCGAAACGCGGTGTCCTATAAAAAAAAACAGTGAATCCGTTCCGGAGGTCAGAAAAAAGTAAAAAAAAAAGTATTTTATCTGTTCAAAACTCTTTAGAAAGTGCACTTTAAAAGTATAAATACTGTTCAGGGACATAATTTAAAAATGAATTTGTAAATGTACTGAAAACCAATTAAAAACTACAGTGTGTTGAGCTTTCAATTTATTAAATGAGCAGGGAATGGATAAGATCTGTCACAGTTTGTTTTTTGTTTTTTTTAAGCTGTCTGTGTTATGTTGGGAAGCTTTTCTCTTCTGTCTCAACAGAAAATGAGATCAAATCTTTCCAGAGTGAAAGAAGGTCAATGTGCACTGGTGTCCCCATTGGAAAGTATCCCCCTCTTTTCTTAAAAACTTGTAAAATTGTGGATTTTCCGTAACTTTCTGCCACAGTTACAGTGGTTACCAAGACAAATGGAGTGACTCTTCCAAGCAGAAATACAGACAGTAATAATAAACTGAGACTGACACCAAAATAAAGTTTTGGCCACAGATGCACTTGTAATGTATGTGTTATATTGTAAAGCGCTGAGCAAACTATATAAATCCTGTATAATAATAATAATAATCCGTTCCGGAGGTCAGAAAAAAAGTCAAAAGCCTTATCTGTTCAAAACTCTTTATAAAGTACACGTTAAAGGCACGGGACCGGCGCTATAAACCTCCTAGGGCGCAATGCATCCTGGGGAAACTTGCTTCGTATTGAAAAAAAAATTAATAAACTAAAGCATTATTTTTCAATGGATTTTCATTCATAAACTGAAAATTAAGTTAACAGAGGCGTTCATAAACCAAGGTACGCCTGTATTGTACTGTGTTATACTAATAATATATTGTTCTATATTATAACTATTATATTTGTGCTATATTATACTAATATTATTTTGTATTGTACTGTATTATATAATGTTGAATTATATTATACTAAAGTTATATTATACTGTATTGTACTAATATATTATATTGTAGTATATTATACTAATAATATAATCACTGACATCTGATAAAGAATAGTGATAAAGGGACCTTCTACTGCACAAATAGGATATAGAACCCGGTCATGTGACCAGAGAAGAGGCAGCGGTCACATGACCCAACAGAGGTATCAATCATGTGACCAACATAGAGTCATGGAAGCACAGAAGGGATGCCAGTCTAGTGATTTATGTAGATGCGCTGGTCATGTGACCTAAAACGAGACACCCATTAAAGTAACAATGTGGAGGCATTGGTCATGTAACCACAGTGAAGGCAAAAGTCATGTGAGTAAAAAAGGGACACCCCTCAATGGACTCGTGTAAAATGCTGATCATGTGACTAAAGCAAAGGCACCAGTCGTGACCAAAAAAAGGGACACCCACAACAGACCAATGTGGAAGCACTGGTCATGTGACTGAAGCAGAGCTGCCAGTCATGTGGCAAAAAAAAGAACACCCCTCAATGGACCAATATGGAGGCACTGGTCATGTAACCAAGGAACGGATACCCATCAATGCACTAATGTAGAGGCACCGGTCATATGACCAAAGTGGAGGCACCAGTAATGCGACCAAGAAGAGACACCCATCAACAGACCAAGGTAGAGGCACTGGTCATGTGACCAACGAACGGATACCCATCAATGCACTAATGTAGAGACACTGGTCATATGACCAAAGTGCAGGCACCAGTCATGCGACCAAGAAGAGACACCCATCAACAGACCAAGGTAGAGGCACTGGTCATATGACCAACAAACAGATACCCATCAATGCACTAATGTAGAGGCACTGGTCAAATGACCAAAGTGGAGGCACCAGTCATGTGACCAAGAAGAGACACCCATCAACAGACCAAGGTAGAGGCACTGGTCATGTGACCAACGAACGGATACCCATCAATGCACTAATGTAGAGACACTGGTCATATGACCACAGTGGAGGCACCAGTCATGCGACCAAGAAGAGACACCCATCAACAGACCAAGGTGGAGACACTGGTCATGTGACCAATGTAGAGAATCATGTGAGCACCAGTCATGTGCCCAAAAAAAGAGAGACTGTCAGTGGACCAATGTGGAGGCACTGGCCATACGACCAAAGTGGAAGCTCTTTAGATGCTGATATTGGGGAATTTTTCTGAAGGCCCCTGAATTGGCTCTGCCTGAACACCTCAGGGTAACACCTCATCCCCCACGTTTATCCAACCAATTTCTCAGTATTGGTCATGTGACTAGATCACCAAATGGTAGCTTGTGGCTCTTTGGAGCGTCTTGTCATACGTGTAGAATGCAATAGATGAGTGCTTAATGTTGTTTTTTGGTCCATTTTTGTGACTTTTCATTGATTGTAATTATAAAATATTTTATAAACTGTTTCCGTTCATTCCTGATTGGTCAGTTCATTTTCAGTGTCCTCAGGTGTCATGTAAGTATCTCAGCTATGTAGTTACCTGTTTACTACTTCATGACTTCACCCTGCTGACAGCCCATTTCCTGCATTCCAGTGTGACACACCGCTTTCATGTCCTGTTATATAACTGTCCTCCTGACAGGGGCACATGTCCTGCCAGGGCCTGCAAAGTGTATGTACAAGCAAATGCCAAACATTTTCTGTGTAGAGTAGTGAGAGGTTAGGAATCCAGTAAGTTTGTTTGTTGGCATCCCATTGGGGAGATTTCTAGCTCTTCCTGTCCCCAAACACAACACTGAGGGAATTCCCCTCTTAGACACTTTTCACTGCCCCATCTATTCCTGTTCTGGTGGCAAAAAGTGTGAATTTCCCATCACTTCCTCTTTCAGAGACACATCGGGAAGTAAGAGAAAACCTTTCCAAAGTGGGGACATTCTGACACTGGGACAGTTGTCCCCATTGAAAGATTTTCCCTTAATACCTGTTCTGGTGACAACAAGTGTAGATTTCCCATCACTTCCTCTTTTAGAGACACATCAGGAAGTAAGAGAAAATCTTTGCAAAGTGGGGGCATTCTGTCACTGGGACAGTTGCCGTCATTGAAAGATTTCCCCTTAATTCCTGTTCTGGTGACAAGTGTAAATTTCCCATCACTTCCTCTTTCAGAGACACATCAGGAAGAGAAAACCTTTCCAAAGTGGGGACATTCTGACACTGGGACAGTTGTCCCCATTGAAAGATTTCTTCTTTTAGAGACACATCAGGAAGTAAGAGAAAATCTTTCCAAAGTGGGGACATTCTGTCACTGGGACAGTTGTCCCCATTGAAAGATTTCCCCTTTATTCCTGTTCTGGTGACAACAAGTGTAGATTTCTCATCACTTCTTCTTTCAGAGACACATCAGTAAGTAAGAGAAAACCTTTCCAAAGTGGGGACATTCTGACACTGGGACAGTTGTCCCCATTGAAAGATTTCCCCTTAATTCCTTTTCTGGTGACAACAAGTATAGATTTCCCATTACTTCCTGTCTTGGTGACACCAGGACAAATAGAAACAGTGAATCTGCCCAGAGGTGACACAGACAGCAAAGCCTGGAGATTTATTATATAATAACTTTGTTTTCTTGTTATCATGCATTGGATGGACGGTGGTGGAACTATGGAGACACCTGATTATTTTCATGGTCACTTATGTTGTGATGGAGTTCAGTAAATCTACAAGTTTCACACCTTGTTTTTTTGGGTCCACATACAAAATTACTCCGAAGATAAATTATTTTTAAAAAATAATATTATTGATAAAAATTACAAAAATTATATACATGTATTATTTGTATAATTCTTATCAATATTATTACTTTTATATATAATATCACCGCTACTGATATAATTTTAGAATATTATATTTCATTCTCATTTCTTCATCAAAGTATTATATATATGATAAATATAGCACTCTATATATGTGTGTGCGTATATATATAATATACATTGTCTTATTATTATTATTATTATACAGGATTTATATATTATTATACAGGATTTATATATTATTATTATTATTATTATTACAGGATTTATATATTATTATTATTATACAGGATTTATATATTATTATTATACAGGATTTATATATTATTATACAGGATTTTATATATTTATTATTATTATTATTATACAGGATTTATATATTATTATTATTATTATTATACAGGATTTATATTATTATTATTATTATACAGGATTTATATATTATTATTATTATTATTACAGGATTTATATCGCGCCAACAGTTAGCGCAGCGCTTTACAATATAACGGGAGAGAATACAATTACAATACATTTCAGTACAGAAGGAATGTGAGGGCCCGGCTCGTGGAGCTTACAATCTAATCTTATAGTATATTACTTATGAGTAAGATTATTATCATTTAATTTTCATCAATCCAGTATCCTTCTTATTACTTTTCATTTTTACTTCAATGTTGCCCTTACTGGCTTTCAAAATAAAGTATTTATCTTTATTATTTTTTATGTTTGATGTTACATTTCAACCATGATGAAGGGGGTAGAGTGTAGCCCCCA